AACCACTATGAAGTAAGCACCTGTCTCATGGCAATGTATACAATAACCCTAAAAGGTAGTTACTATTTCTCATTTCAAAAATGAGGAAAATTAGATTCAGAAGGTTAAGCAAAGTGTCTTAAGACCACATGGCCAGCAGGTGGCCAACAGGGAATGTGGACCCAGTTCTGACCCTAGCACCCATCCATTGCCCACCATATACAGTCTTCTAATTTGGACAGTGCATTTCAGTTTCTGTGTACATGTATTTTGGTGAAGTCAAGTAATAAACCTCTGTTTTAAAATGCCCTAAATCTATATAATCAGTCTTAAAATCCTACTTTAAAAGATATTCAAATTACTATATTTACTAAAAAAAAAGAAGAAAAAGCATAAGCTTCAATTATATCCAGGTTCCAAAAATGGAATATATTTTATTTTATGAAAAAGAACTTTGTAATTTGTTTTTGTCAATTTTATATACTGACCATACATCTTGGACAGAGAGATAGGATGTGAAAAATGGAGAAAACACCCAAACAGAACTGTCCCTCCCAAAGGGACAAGGCTTATAAGATGAGGTATAGGACAGGCAGCCCTGGCAGACAGCAGACAAGCAGCATTGATACTGCTGACCAGGAACAGGCCCAGGGAGTCCATTCCCTCCTCTCTGGGGTCACCCCTCAGCCACTAGGGAACCCCACCCAGCAATTATCCACACATTATCCCAATCCCAGCTGCTCATCCCCACCCTGTGCTAGTGTATAATAGGGAGGTAAGTAGTAAGTGGTGGAAGGAGAAGTCAAAAGAAATCTTTTCCAGCCCATTTATCACCAACTCAGAAGTCCTAAGTGAGCAGAAATAAAGAGCAGAGAGAGAAAACCCTGTCTTATTTCCTGCCCCCATTTTTTTCACAACTTTAGAAGTTGCATTTATCCACTCATTTGTTACTTCATTCTTATTTATTATGTAAACAAGTTATGCACTTATAACCAAGTCCCAATATACACTCCCTTAAAATACCATTCCAGTAGATGTGGACTGCAGGTTCTAGATTTTTGAAAAAGGGAAGAGTATATTGGGAGGAAATGCAAGTGAAAACCCAATTCCTCTTGCTTTCCTCCCAACTCTGGTCTTAATGGCCACCTCACCCCGCTTTTACATCACACTCTAAATGCAAAAAGCATTGTCTACAGCTCAAGGAGCTTTCTCTACTGATGAGGGGATGAATCAAGGTCTACTTCCAGTTTGGGTTCCAGCAGGAAAAGCTATGTTCATGATATAACTCTGAAAGCAATTAGTGTCAAACAATAATTTTGGTCTATGTACTAGAGAATTATATTTCAGACACATTAATTATGGGCTACTTGGTCAACTAGGCACTTACAACTCTATTTGTATAACTGTTTCTATGGAAAAACTCATTGTGAATAACAAATATAATTTACAGAAAAATTCATGCACTTTGAAAAGCTTTCACTCAAAGATAAACAGCCTTTAACCCACGTTGCAGGTACCTGAAACTTTCCTCCTTGTTCCTAAAGAGAAATTTGACCTAAAAGGTAAAACCCATTGTCAACATGGTAAGTCACTGGCTCAGCCAGGACTAGGACCCACATTCTTGTCAATATTCTCTCAATTTCCTGCCTTCAAAGTTGGAATTACAGCACCCCCAGCAGAATCAGTGTAACCTCTTTTAATATTTCTTACATCTGGTGGTACATGGGACACAGCAGAGGATTTGAAAATCAGGGCCCCTAGAAATACCAAAATATAGTCAAAATACCTCATTCCATCACTAGGAACTAAGCAGAGGTTAATAACAGAGCCCACTTTAATCTCTTAAATTTCTATTTGAGATCTATTTTATCAATTCTTTCTGGCCTGTAACTGCCTTCCTCCTTCTATAATAGTTCATGCTGGCTGTTTGAGAAACAAGCCAAGTTCACTGACCTCAGTTTTACACTTAACCATTCCTTCCACCTAGAAGTCTATTCCTCTCCAGACCACCTCATGATTTGCTCCCTTACTTCTTTCAGTTCTCTACTCAAATACCACTCTGAACACCCTATCTAAAAACACTATCCACCCCCACCCTATCCCTACACTCTCTAGTCCCCACTCAGCTTTATTTTCTTCATAGCCTTTACTGCCTAAAATTATGTTACTTATTTATTTGGCTTGCAAAATAAATATGCCACACTGGCATACAAGGTTCATGAGGACAAACCCTGACTATCTTCTTCACAGATATATCGTTCAAGCTACAACAGTGTTCGGCATGTAGTAGACCCCTAATAATTACTTGATGACCATCTTAATATACTACCATCTTAATATTCCTGAATCCCATTAATTCTGCTTGAATACTGTGTAGCACTTCAGAGTTCTACAGTTTTTAATGCATTATTGTTACTTTTCATCCTCACAGAAAGGTCCTTTTACCTTGAATCAAGCAGAGGAAAGACTCCAACTCCAGCCCAATATCATTTAAGTCCTGCATCACTTCTATTACTTCATTCATGTAGAATGCAAATCTTCAAACCATAACAGCATTATTATTAACCATTAGCTTCAACTTTTTCTCAAAGATTTACAAAATGTGAATATGTTCTTAGCCAATACTTTTACATTATATTCTTGAAGTAATACTTAACCAGGACCAAACCTGTAGAATAGACTATTGCAGGGTCTCTCAATGACATAAAAATATTCTCAAGGGCTGGGATTGTGGCTCGGAGGTAGAGTGCTTGCCTAGCATGTGTGAGGCACTGGGTTCAATCCTCAGCACCACATAAAAACAAAATAAAGATATTCATCTATAAATAAAAAATAAATTTTAAAAAAATGTTCTCAGTTACGGTAGCCCTACCATACTGAACCTAAAAGATGACATCAACTTTTTTTTCACAACTTTAGAAGTTGCATTTATCCACTCATTTGTTACTTCATTCTTATTTATTATGTAAACAAGTTATGCACATAGCACATTTATATGTGTGAGTTAAACATTTGCTCTTTCTCTAAAAACTCTCAAATTGCCAAACTTCCCTGCCTCAGTACTGCCAATTCTCTCTTCAGGATACTCTTTCTGACAGGCCTATTAGAATTTCTTGTTCTGAGTTGAAATAGTTCATGTACTTTCAAATCATCAGTTTTAGATTTTCTTCCATAAATCTAGATTTTCTATCTTAATCATCCCTCTTCACATCCTTAAGGAGAGTTTTCATAGATCCTAAGTTCATCTCCTCTCTAGATGCTACCTTACTAGTTACTTCAAAAATCCCAAAACACTAGGGTTGCTTGATCCCTTCATTAATTCATCATTTTGTTAGGACTTATAGAAAATGGGGAGAGAGAAGACTTGAGCAGTTGCTCTATCAAAACCTAAAGTAGGAGATAAATATGGAAACATAAGTGGTCTTAAAATAACATGAACAAAATGGTATTGGGGGGGGGGGGATAGTAGCTACTCTGCCTACTGTCAGAGGTCTCACAAGGAAATAACCTAAGCTAGTTTGGGAAAATAAATATAAACTGGGGGTGAGAAACCAAGCTAGGAGCTAGTCAGTTCAAAAAACAGTAAAAAAAAAAAAAAAAAAATTCACTAATGGTAGATTACAGAAGAGATGGAGGAGAGAGGTTAGACTGGAAAGACCACCAATCCTTGGTGTCCCTCTTTTCTAAATGATCAGCAAGGAAAAACTAACAAAGAAACTAATCAGAAGAGTAAAGGGGACTGGAGGGTGGATTGGAATGTAAATGGCTTGGACAAAAAAGTTAGCCACTAATGCAAAAGTAGATGAAAGGACACGGGAAATGGAGAAGAAATGAACTAATGAGAAGATTTTTCATGCAGAATTTAAAGTCTAGTATATGACTGCACGGAGAGCATGAGAAAAAAAAATGATGCTTAAGTTTCTGGTATTGAGTGAATGACTGCATGGCAGTGCCATACGGAAGTAAGAAGACACTATGGGGTGGGGGGAGGCGGTTACAGTTAAAGGAGAAAGTTTTGCCACCAAGTTATTTTAAATTTAAGTGTGTAGGGAACCTCCTGATGGTAATGTGAGGGCAAAAGCTCAATTTCACAGACATTAGTTTAATGACCTCATTTTTTCAAAGTTGTCCAGTTTAGTTTTTATTTTTTAAGAGTGGCACCCCCTGAGTTCCCTCCCAATGGTCACGTCACCTCAGGCTCATCTTGCCCTTGTAAGTCTTACTATCCAAAGGTCTCCTCCCCTTATCCAACGAATCTCAGGGCACAACTCTCCGAAGTCCGCCAGAGAGTGGGCCGCGGAGATCCTCACCTCTGCCGGACAGTGGATCCCGCCGCCCGGGCCGCCACCGCTTTGCTGGGAGAACGCCCAGAAGAGCCCACGTTAGTGCCACTGGGGGTCGGACCAGGCTGCAGAAGGAGAAAAACAAGACAGACAGTGAATGTCGCGGGCCCACCCCGGTCCGCTGGCTGACACCGCCGAGACCGGCACCCGCATTCGAAGCTTGGGGAAGCAGGGGAACCCCGGGGGAAGAGCGAGACACAAGGCAAGAGGCAGCACTCCCGGGAGAGGCGGGAGTAAAGAGAAGTCTGGGGCCGCATACCATGCTGAAGGTAGACAGGGAACTGAGGAGACGGCAGGAAAGTTGCCGGTCGCGTTGAGAACCCACGGGTAGAGAGACTGGCCCAGGCCCCGCCCCCAAACCTGCTGGCAGGGTCCTCGCTGACTCCAAGGACGCTAGGGTTGCCCCACGATATGCCTGTAGAAATCCTGCTTGTAGCGACTTGGCTGAGTGGAAAGCACAGACCGTCAGTATCCTTTCCTTGGTTAAAAGCTTCCTTCACGGGGACAAATGTCTCCCACAGGGAGGCTATAGCCAAGTCAGACGAGAAATTTTCTCCGGCAGTTACTAGGCGACCACATATTTGTGCTGATGTGTCCTAACGGACGCACGCGCGGCGGGGCGGAGTCAGCCCTCAGTGGCCAGCGGGTTCCGGGGGCGGAGCTTGCGGGAAGCCCTCTTTCGGGCTCGGGGTGTAGACGCGGCTTCCGGGCCATGGCGCAGAGGCAGGATCCGGGAGGGAGTCCTGGGCCCGGCCCGTCGGTGCTGTTCCTACACCCAGATCTGGGCGTCGGCGGCGCCGAGCGGCTGGTGCTGGACGCGGCGCTGGCGCTGCGGGCGCGCGGGTGTAGAGTGAAGATCTGGACAGCACACTATGACCCGGGCCACTGCTTCGCTGAAAGTCGCGAGCTACCCGTGCGCTGCGCTGGGGACTGGCTGCCGCGCAGCCTGGGCTGGGGCGGCCGCGGTGCTGCGGTCTGCGCCTACGTGCGCATGATCTTCTTGGCGCTCTACGTGCTGTTCCTCGCAGATGAGGAATTCGACGTGGTTGTGTGCGACCAGGTGAGGAGGCCACCGGGCCTCGGAGGGAGGACCTCTGCCCAGTGTAGGTCGGAACTGGCCTGTAGACCGCGATTGAGACTGTTTTCTAGTCGTTGCGTGTCGCAGGGCTCACATTCCAGGAAACTTTCTTCCTGGAGCCCTGAAGTGGGGCCAGAAATCTGCATTTTAACCAGGTCTTCGGGCGCTCTGCCACAGATGGGACTTGGGGATAGCCCTAAAGCACATTAGCATTAGCGGTCCACTTCTGTCACCTTTTACATCTAACTCGTGTGTTGTCTTCCCTCTTTTCCATTATACTCCTTGACTCTGCTTCCAGGCCACCCTAATCCATCAGCAATGTCTTGGTGTTAAAACACGAAGCTGGGAGGTCGAAGCAGGAGCGTTGTGTGTTCAAGACCAGGCCGGGACAAGATTCCGTCTTAAAATTCAAAATACATTAAAAATAAAACACCCAACTAAACACATTATATCCCCGATAAAACTTTAACATGGCTCCTTATTGGTCTTTGAGGGAAAGTCCAAATTCTTTACCTGTGGCTATTCTAGACTTTTTTCCAACACTCAATTTTTCATTTTAAAAAGTAACATTTCTTCAGGACTTTTAATTTTAAACTAAAATGTTAAGTAGTATTAAAGAATACAGTGTAAAAGTCCTGTATCCTCCCAAAAGTTGTGGCATACCAGTATGTGTGTATCTGTTTATAGATACATCTTATTTGTACATAATTGGGATTATGACATACCTACTATTGAGCACTTTGCTTTTTTTCAGCAAAGAGAGAAATAATTTTAATATTTTTTAGTTTTCGGCGTACACAACATCTTTGTTTGTATGTGGTGCTGAGGATGGAACCCGGGCCGCACGCATGCCAGGCGAGCGTGCTACCGCTTGAGCCACATCCCCAGCCCAGCAAAAATCTCTTATTTGGAGAATCTTTAGATATCATTACAGAGATTCACTTCATTTTTTTTAATGGCAGGAAATGCACTTTTGTTTGAATTTAACATAATTTATGCATTCTGTTGAAGGATGCTGGTGGTGTGGTAAACATTTCTACACTTTTTTGTTAACTTCTGCAAACATCCTTTGAGTGAATTCCTTGAAATAAAGTTGTAGGTCAAAGAGCACTTCATTTTAAATGTCAGTACTGGTCACCAGATTTGCTTTCTAAAGAGGTTGTGTGGCTTAAATCTCCCTCAGTCTGTGATAGAGCCTATTACTCTGTGCTCTTGTCCACATTGAATATCATCAACCATTTTAATCTTTGCCAAACTGATAAGTGGAAATAGCATCATATTTGCATTTGTTTCCTTAATTATGACTCCTCAATTACTTTTTTGATCATCCTTGCTTATGTGGAAGTCATTTCTTTTCAAAAAATGCAAACATTCCAAACACCTGCATGTGTCAGCCAGTTGAGATATACTGGATAGAGAAAAAAAGGGGGCTTGGAGGTAGGAATATTCAAGTTCTATATCTGCTGCTTTAAGCAGGTTTGTATATATTTGCACAATATCCCTAAAGCTCACCTTCTTCAAATGTTTTAGTTTTTTTGTTTTGTTTTGTTGTTGTTTTGTGGTGCTGGGGAATGAATCCGGGGCCTTGTGCATGCAAGGCAAGCACTCTACCAACTGAGCCATATCCTCAGCTCCTTCAGGTGTTATTCAAGGGAGCGGGGGATTAAGTGATTTGTAAAGGTTACCCAATAGGAAAGTCTCTGGTAATGTTTGTAGTTCATTCTCAGTAATGATTTTGATTGATATTTATGGAGCACATTCTGTATATTAAATTCTTAATATAAATTGGTAAGTATAAAAAATCAGTACATTTCATAATCATAAAAACTATACTAGTTTTTTGTCTAATGATGGTCACCATGTTACATAGGAAGAAACTGAAATCCAAAGAGGGGTTGATTATTTGATCATGGTCACACAGTTAAAAGAACTGAGATTTAAACCGTAGCAATCTTGATTCCAGAATCTGTGCTCTAAACTACTGTTGCTCATTTATTAATTCCTTAGGAAGAGAAAGATCCCACAGCTACCTTGTACAACATGGTAGCCACATATGGCTGTTGAGTACTTGGAACATGGCAAGTCTGAACTGAAATATGCTGAAGTATAAAATATAAACCTGATTTTGAAGATTTAATATGAAAAACAAGCATTTCGTTCATATTTTTTAGAATTGATTACATTTTGAAATGATTAAAATATATTAAAATCAATTTCATCCTTAAATGTTGAATGTTACTGGGTTTTTATTTTATTTCTGTTGGATGACACTGGGAGGAAACCACTGGACTTGAAGTGTTGAATGCTTAGCACACATTCTGCAAATATCTGCTGCCCTTCTATATACTAGTCATTGTACTGGACTTAGAAAGGAGGATACAAAGCAAATCAGAAGTGCCCATGGAGCCACCCACTGGTAGGGAGGGCAGGTTGTCTGTTCTTCTGCTGTGGTTGAGGCTGAGTTGAACAGTCACTTTATCTGCTGTTAATTTTTGCTTTGGTTAGGTGTCTGCCTGTATCCCAGTGTTCAAGCTGGCCAGACGGCCTAAGAAGATCCTGTTTTACTGTCACTTCCCAGATCTGCTGCTCACCCGGAGAGATTCTTTTCTTAAAAGGCTATACAGGGCCCCAATTGACTGGATAGAGGAATACACCACAGGCATGGCAGACTGCATCTTGGTCAACAGCCAGTTCACAGCTGCCATTTTTAAGGAAACCTTCAAGTCCTTATCTCACATAGACCCTGATGTTCTCTACCCATCTCTGAATGTCACCAGCTTTGACTCAACTGTTCCTGAAAAACTTGATGACCTAGTCCCCAAAGAAAAAGAATTCCTGTTTCTCTCCATTAACAGATATGAAAGGAAGAAAAATCTGTCTTTGGCACTAGAAGCCCTAGTACAGCTACGTGCACGATTGACATCTCAAGATTGGGAGAGGGTTCATCTGATCATGGCAGGTGGTTATGATGAGAGAGTCCTGGAGAACGTGGAACACTATCAGGAATTGAAGAAAATGGTCCAGCAATCTGACCTTGGAGGATATGTGACCTTCCTGCGGTCCTTCTCAGACAAACAAAAAATTTCACTCCTCCATAACTGCACATGTGTGCTTTACACACCAAGCAATGAACACTTTGGCATTGTCCCTGTGGAGGCCATGTACATGCAGTGTCCAGTCATTGCTGTTAATTCTGGTGGGCCCTTGGAGTCCATCATCCACAGTGTCACAGGGTTTCTGTGTGAGCCTGACCCCTTGCACTTCTCAGAAGCAATAGAAAAGTTCATCCGTGACCCTTCTTTAAAAACCACGATGGGTCTAGCTGGAAGAGCCAGAGTGAAGGAGAAGTTTTCTTCTGAAGCATTTACAGAACAGCTCTACCAATATGTCACCAAACTGCTAGTATAATCAAATTTTTTAAGCTCTATGATACAGTTTTGGAAAAAAAAAAAAGTAGAAATCCAGAATCTAGCACAGAAGAGATTTTTTTAATAAACCCAAGTCTTGAATGTGAGCTCTTCTTCCTATATACCACAAATCCCTGTCTCAGAAAAATATTATGCTATGTATATGCAGTGCATACTATCCTGTATCTTTTATGCTATCATCAATCCAAGTCTTACCAGTATGAAATTTTAAAAAGTACAAATCCATCTTCAGCAAAATATTGTAATTATATTTTCTCTGGATTATTGTTTCTCTGCATGTGAATTTTGAATTATATTATGCCTTAATTGGTTTTGATGGTTTAAGTATATCATCATCAAAGTTCATTAATTTGATTTTACGGCATAATGAGAACAGGGTTACTGTAGTGTTAGGAAATTTTGTTAGACTTTTGTCTAAATTCACAGCAAGAGTGCTCTATTTTTTGTTTTTATTTTTTTACAAAGATGATATTGTATTTTTGCACACTGAGACATGACAATAAAAAATTTTTATCAAAAGAGGAGACAAAAGATTAGGTTTTGGCTTCCTTGATCTGTGTTGGTGTTAGAAATATAGGTAAGAGCCAAACCTGAAATTAGAAAGCTGAGTAAACTGGATGTTGACCGAAGAGGTCACATTGTCACAACGTGCAACATGCACTTTGTTTAGGACCTGTTTCCTGATGTTGTCTGAGTTCCAGTTTTGTTAATATCTGTTATATTAACTAGGTTCCTACTAAGTAAACATAGTACATAATTATCTGTCAAGGCCTGGCTTAAATGCCACTGCTGTGAAGTTTGCCTTGACCCTCCACTTACCTCTCAAACTGGAGGTAATGTCCCTTTCATATATTCTAGGACTCTAACCAGTCCTAGAGTTCAGTATTCACCTATTGGTCTAAGTACAAATAGTAAACAAAGCAAAATTTTCAGTGTATTTAAAGATAGATTAATTTTTTGAAAACTAGCAAATATTACTAGTCAAAGGCTCCATGTTAATCATCTCTTAAGAGCACAAATTGAGAGCCAACAGCCTGTATGGCCTGAGGAAAAGTTATCTCTGCACCTCAGTTTCTTTATCTATGGTAAATAGGATAATTGTCCTGTCATACTTTCCTCATAGTGTGATTATGACAGATTTCAATAATTTAAAGTACTTAATAGTTGGTACATAATGTTAACTGCTGCTATTTTGCAATTTGGGGATATGGAAATTATTACAAGTTTTATGTAGGTTCATTCCACACTACCATATTTTGGGGGATTCTTTAGAGGTTGAAATTTATTCATCATGTGCATCTGTATCACAAGAGTATTTTATCCACATAACACCACCAAAAGGCGTTCTACAAAGTGAAGTGCCAAATCAATTCCATTTTCTTTGGCATTGTGAAAGTTCACCACCCAGTAAACTAGGTGATTCCCCATTTTGTGGATTGGTGTGCTGTGTTTATGGGAATTGTGTCTTTCCAGAAAATCTGGTGACTGGCCACTGGGTTTAAGATGAGCAGAATTAATGACTGTCACCCCTTCCAAGCACTAACGATCTGCTTATTTGACCATTATTTTATGCAGATCCTTTCAAAATGGAATAGATGTGTTCATAGAGCTTTAGTTTAGCTTGACTTCATTACCCTCAGCCCCGGTGGTGACACTAGGTCTTCACAGTCTAAGAGGATTGCAAACCCTTGCCTGCCGTGAGCTTTCAATTTTTTGGGGGGGGTACCAGGGATTGAACTCAGGGACACTCGACCACTGAGCCACATCCCCAGCCCTATTTTGTCTTTTGTTTAGAGACAGGGTCTCACTGAGCTGCTTAGCTCCTCGCCATTGCTGAGGCTGGCTTTGAACTTGCAATCCTCCTGTCTCACCCTCCCAAGCTGCTAAGATTACAGGCGTGTACCACTGCACCCAGCAAGCTTCCATTGGCTCCTGATTGGATGCCAGCTAAGAATGGAGTTTTGCATACAAGATGTGTTCAAATTTCTAACATGTGAATTAGGGAAAATCAGTGGAACTTTGGAGGTGACTTGTCAGGGACTTCATCAATAATAAGCCTAGTGCTTAAATAATTGGCTCTTCTCTGTTTGCTCGGTACAACAGGAGATACAGAGAGGACAGCTCATTCCATCCTCTCATTGTCTTGGGAGTGTAGATATATTTCCCTTTGTAGATAAGTGTAGTTTAACAACTTGCCTGGGTCACAGTTTTTGAGGGATAGGCAGAGTCTCAAGGCTCTGATTCTGAAGTCCCACCTCCTCAGCAAGCCCCATGTGTGGTCATGTTGCACATAAATGTAATTCACCCACCTCCCCCTGCACCTCTGCAGGGGCACTTGCTCAGATACACCAGTTAAGAAAGACTTTGTTCTTCATTTTCTCTTTTCATCTTTGGGGCCATCTGTGAGATGGATATAATTCCCCGTTTTATGCACAAAGTTCGGACAAGTGAAAGAGTACCAAACTGAAAAGGGACTGAGCCAGGTGTCAGTGTTACCTGGTCCATTCAGGACTCCACACAGAGCAGAATTTCTCAGCCTGCTTCCCTTAGATATGAAGAAATATTGTATGTCTCTCATACATACTCGTCTGGTGGGGGGCTGGGGTGGTCATGTTGCACATAAATGTAATTCACCCACTCAACTAAGGGGGAGCAGAATTGCAATTCTTCCCGCCTGACAGTGATCCATTGACTGACAACTGAGCCCCTATGGGTGGCCTTTAGAGTCTGCAAAGCTCATTCCAAGTTTCCCATTGGTAGGTAATAAACGTGAGCAGTGGGAACATGAAGTTAAGGGGATGATTCTGTAAACTGGGCCAACTGAGCTGACCCCCACATGATTTCTTGTAAAAGGCAATTTACTTGCAGCCTTGGCTTAAGTCAATAGAAATGTCACATTCCTCAGCATACAACCTATGATCTGCAGGACAAATCCAGACAGAAAGTCTCCCTGCTGGTAAGAACACAGGTTACCTAAAGGGGGGGACTTTCGTTATCCTTACCCAGACTAGATTCCAGAACTCAGGGAGACAAAGAAGTTCCAGTTAGAATCAGTGTGGGCTGAAGTGACCCAAAGCTGCCTTGGACCTTTACCATGAGCAGTGGGGCCTTGGAAGTCTGAGGCAGTCGTGCTGTCAGATGTCAAGAGGTGGACTGGGTGGGACTCTGGAAACTTTTCTGGACACTCTTTCCCCTGAGTGTCCCCTTCTCGCCATTTCCTGTCTCTACTGATAAATTCATCTGCTGCTCAGTGACATGTCTGAAATCTTTTCTGGCATGATCATAAGAACCAGTATCAGGAGCTCCATGGCTGCCTCGGCTGTGCAGCAGATCTTTGCTCTGTAATGCCATGTGCTCTTCACAACATCCCTCCAGGTAATTATTACAAACATTTTTACAGGTGGGAAATCTGAGGCTTAAAACCAGAAGGCAACAGAGCAAGAGTTCAAGTCTGGGTCAGTGCAACTGTGGGTCAAGAGTTCTTTCAATTGAAGTAAGAACACCTCCTTCACAAATGCTTCACCTTCTAACCTGCCCCAGGCACCTGGTTCTGTCTGCAGTATTCTACATCATCTCCTCATGTTTTAGCTTTTAGCTATTATGACTTAAAGATCTCACCAGAACAATTGTACAGGAGGAAAAGTTTGAGAGCTCATGGTCTCAGAGGTCTTAGTCTATAGAAGATGGGCTCTACGCCTTGGAGCTTGAGGTGAGGCAGGACATCATAGCGGAAGAGTGTGGCAGAGGGAAACAGCTCACATAATGATCAGGAAGCAGGGACTTCATTCTCCAGATACAAATATATACCCCATAGCCATGCCCTCAATAAGCCACTTCCTCCAGCCACACCCCACCTTTCTCCAGTTACCACTCAGTTAATCCCATCAGGGATTAATTCACTGATTATGCTAAGGCTAAAACCCAGTCATTTCTCCTCCAAACCTTCTTGCATTGTTTTACATGTGAGCTTTTGAGAGACACCACATCTAAATCATAATACCTTCTTTAAAGGAAATGAGGCTCCCAAACACTACTGTCCCCTTTACTCACCCAGTCAACCCTTCTGCCCACCACTACCAGCGTCACTAACTATCCTGTGACTTCCTTTCTTTGTATTTCCAGCTCCCAGATTCAAAACCAGATTCAAAGCAAACTGGGACCCCAATGATCACCCAACCGAATTTTCTTTTGCATAGATGGGTAACAGGCCCAGAAAGAGAAAGGGACTTTCCTGAGGTGACAGGACAGTTGCAGCCTCCTCTATCTTCTTTCTGAACCCCCTCCATCTTCTTTTATCACACACACACACACACACACACGCACCTCATTTCCTGCCACTTCCAACTTACTCCTTTGTTCCTAACCTCAACCCTCTACAGCTTTGTTCCTTGTGTGAGTGCCACCATTCAGACACTAGTGCCCTCATGACTGCTAACTCTGGGGTGGGGGCATTTCCCAGTGACAGACCAGTTTCTAACTGTCCTTGGTTAAACAGTTGCTCTTGGGAGGGAAGAGAAGGAAGTGGATTTTATCTGCTGATTCTGAGTCAACAGTCTAGTCTGCTGGAACAACACCTAGGTCCTTGTCAAGAGAACAGGGGATTAGAGGAGGGGCAGAGGCTTGAGGGACACCACATCTAAACCATAACACCTTCTTTAAAGGAAATGAGGCTCCCAAACACTACTGTCCTCTGGTTCTGTTATCAGAGAGAAAAGACACTAATGGAGGATTATGATGGACCCTTTTAGTTCAGGGACCTTCCCTAAACCTAGTGAAGCAAGGCTGAGAAACAAGGTGCCATTAGGGTTTGCCAGGTTTATGTCAGCAATTTAACCTGAGAGGAACCAGGCCAGAAAACTTTCGTTTGTCCTTTTGTATTTCCTGATAGTCCATAAGTTAGTTTTCTAACCATTTTTGATATTCATAAATTAGGAGGGGTTTTCCCAACAATAAAGTATGTTGGTGCAACGTGGATGAACCTGGAGGACATTGAGTTAAGTGAAATAAGCCAACCACAGGAAGACACAGACTCCACGATCTTTTATAGAGAACCTAAAGAAGCAGGTTCATAGATGTAGAATAGAATAGTGGTGGCCAGAGGATGGGGAGAGTAGTGAGGTGGTGATGGGGAGATTGGTGAAGAGGTACAGTGTGCAGACAGGAGGGATATGTTCTAGTGTGCATAGTGGGGTGACTATGGTGAAAATATTGTATTGACTATTTCAAAATGCTAGAAGACAGGATTTTTATTATTTTCACTACAAAGAAATGATAAATGTGTGAGGTCATGGAAATGCTCAATACCTGATATATATTATACAATATATCCATGTGTCAAAACCATACCATATGCCATAAATGTGTGCTGCTTAGAAAAGGGAAATGCTTGGGAAGCTACTTGATTGGATCAGACAAAGGAAGAGTTACACAGTTGGTCTAGGTGAAATGCAGGGATGCAGCTTTAGGCTTGAAATGCAAAAGAAACCAGGAATTCAAATGCCACCTGAACACCCTTTCTTTATACAGTATATCATTGTCTTTCATTGTAGACTAGTTTCTTCCTTATGGCAGGAAATGTGGATAAGATCTCCCTCTCACTGATTCTGTTACCAGAGAGAAAACACTAATGGAGGATTATGATGGACCATTCTTGGTTCAGGGACCTCCCTAAACTTAATGAAGCAAGGCTGAGAGACAAGATGCTATTAGGGATAGGCAGGTTCATGTCAGCAACCTAACCTTGAGCCCAGCAACTGGGGCCCAGATTCAAGATTACATAACAGCAGAAATCATAGCCGCAAGAGGAGTTGGGGGAATGGGGTATTATAGAAAGAAGAGCAAGCAGTCCCCTAAAGAAGGTGACCTGGGCAGGCAAGTAAATGTTCTCTCCAGTGCTCAGAAATAGAAAAGCCTTAATAACTTATACCCAAGGGGCCTAGCAAGCATCCATCCCTTCCCACACACCTTCTGTTCATTGCTTCCACTTCCATAATAAATCAATTTTACTAATATAATTTATGACCTACCTTGTGCAAGAAACTAAACTGCACATAAATAAATAGTTTAATACTCTTCAACTTCTCTGTTACTCAGCTTTCTGTCACTATGACAAAACACCTAAGACTAGTCCAATCAATTTAAAATGAGGAAGGTTTATTTTGGCTCATAGTTTTAGAGATTTCAGTTACATGGTTGCTTTTTCCTGTTGCTTTGGGTCTTTGGCAAAACAGCACATCATGGTAGGAGCATGTGGCAAAGGAGAACTTTTCATTTCATGGCCAGGAAGCCACTTATGTTTACAAGTGAAAAGAGAATGGGCTAGCATGCCAATATCCCCTTCAAAGGCACACCACCAATGACCCACCTTCTTTCCACTAAGGCCCCATGTTTTAAAGGTGCCATCTCCCACTAACTCCACAACCTGGAA